ATTAACGGGAACGCTCGTTTCTCTTACGGCCAACTACGCGAGACGGTTCAGTTGAAGAAAGTTATACTGAAAATTGTACTGGAATATAATGGTAACAACCAGAATATCCAGAGATCACCTCCTTCCACAATAGAACGTAGGGGTTAGGGAAGATCGGTTACAAATATGTAACGCTTTATCTTGTCTCAAAGATTTCTGTCTTAGAAGGTAATGCCTTTTAAAGTACAGAGCTAACATATTAAAAATCCTCATGAAAAGATCACGTGTAACCGGCCTCAAGCAATTATCGCTTAGGCTATACAGTCACTTTGCTAAATTGTGTAGCTATTTCATTTAATACAAAAGCAAAACGAGGTCTTCTGAACTGCACATGTGCTTGCCTGCTGTCCATTTGAACGGTATCGTATGAACCCATTACGACAAAGATAAACACCATTATATTCTTTCAGTCTCTGACGGCGCTACAACCAATTGCAGTTCGGAAAAAGAAAAAAGATCAATTTTACAAAAATATTCCTGACTTTCATAAGTCTAAAAATGCCCAAACTTTATAATCATGATAAGGGATTTTTGTATCCGATTGGGTAAGCTGAACCAAATTGAAAGATACTTTGATGGGTCCTTTGGTATTCCAGCTGACGGACACACCGTGCAGGTTGTCTGCTGCAACTGCATCCAGACAACTACTTATTTCTGAAAAGCATTAACTTTAGGCATAAATAGAAACGTTGTCTATCGTAGCGACCAGCAAAGCCAACTCAAATACGGACTCAAGTAAACCGTATAGTCATCAGTGCAAAATTTGCACGTAATGGCGTCTGATCTAACAGATCTGTATTGACGGCTGATCGTATTACTTAAGAAGGAAGGACAGAAATCCTCTTGTGATAACCACAGAGCGATTGCTTTGATCAGTATTGTCTAAAATAGCCGTCTATAAAATAACCCAACACTTAAGTAAGCGTAGTGAACAGCAAGTCTTGGAAAGTCAGGATGGTTCCAGATCAAGGTGTGAATCCACCGATCAAATATTCACCCTTTTACAGAACGTAAGCATACTAACCAACGCCTCATAAATATATTATTCTTTGATGCGACGGTAGTATTTGACTCTATTGATCCAGAGGTTTTCTGAAAGTATTTACCATCAAAAGCTACGTCGAAAATTGAGGGTTCTTTACTAGGACACTATTAGTCATCTCGGCGTTTAAAGAGAACGGAAACCAGTAATAGAATGATCAAGTGGTACTTGATAGAATTGATTCCCTACCAGGAGATCCACTTACTGACTTAGGATACACAAATTACATAATTCTATTTACAGTTTTCTGAGTGCCTTGAGGAACATTCTAATCACTCTTGAGAAACGTTGTCTTTTGTCGAATCGCATCACCTACAACATAGGTAAGATGTTCATATGTCAAACAAAGGAAGGGTAAAAGGCCTGGAAATTTGTTCTACCTGATTTTGTATCTGGGATACAGGCCTTTAAAAGAAAACATTTGTAGATTACTAGTATTTAATCATAGGATTCTTTGAACCATTGCTTTCGTATGTTGGTACGTAAGTTGGTAGGTAAAGATAGAAAATCGTCCAATAAAAGTGTGAATCTTCAACGACTGAGGTAGCTAGAACGTATGCTATGCACGTTCAGCCAACTCGATACTTGGTGTTTCCTGGAGTACAAGTAGGTTGGAAGAAAGCTTTGGGTGACCAAACCAAGATCAATACATGAAGTCACTGACTGTTGGTTTGAGTCATTCAGGTAGATGCAAACCACCTGGTTGGAACCCACATAATTATTCAAACTAATGATTGGACACATTAGAAGACAGGGATTACAGTAGGTCACAATAGCTATGATCAATCTACTATTTAAGATTCTCTAGATCTCGGTCCTCTAAATTTCTCGACATCCTTTCAGATACAAATCTATTATTTGTTCTCTAATATTATTCTTTATGTATGATCTATTTTACCGTCGCTGATGCTACTACCTCTAATCGATTGGTAATAATGTAGTATA